TTACTGCTTTGTAATTGGTTAGAGTTGTGAAAATGAATAAAGAGAGTTTGAGTTGGTCTTGGGGAGCACAGCACGATAGACGCAGTAGAGAGAGTGCAGTCCTGGAGAGTCGAGTCGAGTCCTGGAGAGCCTTGGGGCGAGTGTTGACGCAGTCTAAGAGAGTCTTGGGGACTTTTCCCCAGGACGCTGTGTCTTATAGAGTGCTCGATTGACCGACTAAGACGAGAGCTGAAACGTATTTCGTTGTGTGTGTCTTATTTGACTGTAAAGTATAAGTGACTTCCCCGATCCCGTACCTCAAGGGGACGAGATATAGAGACAAGACGAGATTCCCCCCTGACAAGTGTGGAGAACCCCAGGAGAGAAGATTTTCCCCCTGATAATACATCGAAAATAGTTCTCCTAATCCGTCATATCGTGTGCAGCTATTTTGATCCACCTGGACCACACAGTAACCTAGTTACCTTGGGCATGCGCATTCGCATTGTTCTGAACAGGGAACGCTTATGCGAGAGCGAGATTGATCGGGATCTTGGTATCATGTCACCGCAGTTGCAAACCCCAAGTAATGTACCTCTGATGAGACCCATATATCTCGCTCATGCGTCGCGCGACAACTACCGCCCTTTAAACTATTACAGAAATGAATTTGACAGAATGATGTATGGCGGGTACCACATGTGGGGTTGGAATTACTCACTCTTTTTCAAAACACCTCATCATATATTATCATGACATCTTACGTGCACTGCTTTTACTCTTGTGTACTTGCCAGTTATCTTGTTTTTGATGTCAGTCATTAGTTTTGTGCTGTAAATGTCACTTTATGACTTTCGTTACCAGATCAGAGATTGGGTATGTTATTTTCACTTTTCTGAATCGACTCAGTCGCCATTGAACTTCTGCTACGTCGTAGAAGAACACTGTTATTGTATGATGTATGATAAAATGCTTCATTAACATCGCTTTCAAAAACTGAATAGAGTTTATGTCGAGAAAGACAACAATATGCCTCTGAAGCAAACGACCGCCGAGATTCCACTGAGAGTGGGAGCCAATCATGAATGTTGCGCCTAGTACCATATTTTTGACAGAGACGGTCTATAACACCGTCACGAATCTGATGTCGTATTTATTTGGCGGGTGAGCCTATTCTAGATAATGACCCATGGGCAAGGCATAATCTAGAGAAAGTAGCAAGCAAGACTGTTTATATTCGGTATAACATCAACGCTACACTGCATAGTGTACGCCATTTATTAGTATTAAACCAAAATTAGAAATACGTATATAAATGGCGGCAATGTAAACCAGCAGAACCAGCAGTACGTGCTAAGTTGGTTAATAGAATAATTTCTTCATTTTCAAATAGATTTGTTTCGCGGAGAAGATTTCCCTAAAGCTAGTCACTTTTCCGGGAACCCAATTTTAATTGATTCCAGACGGAACGAATATCCTCTAACTCACGTTTTTGGACCTAGTTGGATTCCCTCGGGAGTATAGACAGCCAATAAGATGATAATAACACTACGATAACAACTTGTAGAATTTTTTTCATTTTTATGCAAAACAAAATATAGTATTTTTACCAAGTAAAATCATATTCAATAAAGTTATTAATCATACATGCGTTTTGAACACAATACATATTTTGTAATTTTATTCAGCTTCTTTCAATCATAATTCAAGGCAAAATAAAAGACAAAAATATAGAGAA